GCAAAGTTTAATTTTTCCTGTCCTTAACCACTTAAAGAAAAAAAAAAAAAAAAAAAAAAAAACTTCCTGTCTCTAGTTTTTTTACAACCAAACACCCAGTTTACTACCAGCAGCCATTTTATGATGCAAAGCACACACTACACAATGCAAAAATTAGCCCTTACAAGTATTTTCTCATCAGTCAAATTCACTGCAATCACACAACCAATCATGTCAAAATAGGGTTTCCATAACATTAACTTCTCAGGTTACCATAAATGAAATAACAACTTGGCAATAATCCAAGGGGCATCCTAAAATATAGACTAACCGAAAACAGTTCAGGACAAACAGCAGCCAAAGCCGAAGTGGTTGAAAAATTTGTGAAACGTTTTTGCGAAGTCCCACAAAATGAATGCGTCGTGCAAATTCTGAACTCAATGTGCATTATGTAATGGTGTGGTATATGTTACAGACACGTCTACTATTCCAGCCATACATCTTTCATGTGGTGCAGTTGTTAAAAACCTTGTGACAAACTGTTGTATAAAGGTTTCTGTGAGAATTTGCAAGTTAAGGTAGAGGGTTTCCCAAAAAGACTTGTGTTTAGGGATGAAGCAATTTGTCACATTTCTGGCAAAGTTAATTGCCATAATTAACAGTTGGGGCACAAAAAATCCACATGGTGTAATGGAACATGAGTGTGATTCTCCAAAGGTGAAAATTTTCTATGCCATTTCCAACAGTTTTGTTTTTGGTTCTTTTTTCTTTGTGGAAAAATTGATTAATGGTTGCATATACCAAAATATGCTATAGTGGTTGTTCCCTCAGCTGGAGGAAGCGGTTCCCAGCTTCATTCTGCAGTAAGAGTGTTTCACCGCCTTGGCATAAAAACATGTGCCAGTACCCGAACGACAGGTTGTCGTATCACTGGATTGGCCATGCTACATCAAACAATATGCCATTACTTTGTCACCAAGATCTCCAGATCTAACCCATGGTGACGTTTTCCTGTGAGATTTTGTTAAAGACAAAGTGTTTGTTCCTTCATTTCTCCAGGACTTGCAGCAACTGAAGCAGCGGATAATTGAAGTGCTTGAATCATTAACAAAGGATATTCTTTCATGAATATGGCAGGAACTGGAATTCTGCATAGATATTTTCCATTTCAATATAGGGGCACATATAGAACATCTGTAGAAACTTGAATAACTATAGTTTTACTGTAAATTTGATTTATCAAAATAATTAAAACATTTACAGGTCTTCTTTCTTTTTGTACCATTCAATATCAGACATCCTATATACATTGATGCCATGCCAGTGTGAAAAACAATCACTCTTCACTAGTGCTAAAGTATTTAGTAAACAGAAGACACTGGTTCCAAATGGAGTCACTAGCATGACACAATGCCTTGTTATTGTGATAGGAAATGGTGGTAGCAAGCATATTTAAGGTTGGAAGAAATATATAATATAATATTACTGCAATGATCTTACTTAATCCAGCCATTCTAATTAGGTGCTTGAAACCAGATCCAGGATGAAATAATGCATAAATATATCATATAAAGACTTAAAATATTTTTCTAAGTACTTTAAAATTTGGTGTAATATTAGGTCTGGAAAAAAGTTTGTGGCGTTTTTAGAGTAAAATTGTACTGGTTTTCTTATAGTGTGAAATAAAATTTATTTAAACCAAATATGCTCCAAATATAAAATGATGATGTTTTACTGTCTTTTGGGTAGATCTATGATGCCATCGCTGAAGAACCTCTGTGGTTTCTGATTAAAAACTGAATCAGGTGGATTTCATAGGCCTCTTTTGAAACCAGCCTAATTCCACTGAGAGAGTTCTGCAGAGATCAAACAAGTGATAGTCTGGTGGTGCTGTGTCTGGACTATATGGTGGGTGCATCATGACTTCCCAACCAATCTCGCACATTCTTTAATGGGTCATCAAAGAAGTATATGGTAGGGTGTCGTCATGATGGAAGAAGACAACACATTTCCTATTACTCAATTTCAGGTTGTTTTCTTTCAGTTGCCTTCCGTAATCTCTCTAGGTGTTCACAACAGAGTTGAGAAGTAATTGTCTGACCAAATTGAAATAATTCATGGAGGACGATTCCTTTTCATCCCCCCCCACAGCAACGTCTTTTCCAGCATAAATCCTGGCTTCACAACAACAGCTTGTGATGGCTCTCCATCCTTTATCCACGATCTTTTATGTTTGCACTGGTTGTACATGGTTCATTTTTCATCTTGGTTATGACATGTTTGAGAAATGGCTCAAGTTTAATGTGTTTCAGCAGCACATCATAGTTGTTAATTCAGTCTAATATATTTTCCTTGCTCAACTCATGCGAAACCCAGACATTGAGCTTTTTTTCATAGCCAGCTTTGTGTAAATGGTTCAAAACAAATTTGTGGTCAGTGTCCAGCTCCATACCAATGTTGACACAGTTGATGTGATGATTTTGCTGCAATTTTCAAGAATTTCATCAGCTTTTTCAGTGATTGGACGACCAGAGTATGTCTCATCTTTTACCTCGGAATTACCAGAACGAAAGCGAGTGAACCATTTCCACTCACAAGATTTTGATAAGGTACCTTCGCCATATACAGCACAATGTTTTTCACAAGCCTACATAGCTTTCTTGCCTTTGTCGTAATAATATTGCAGAATATAGTGCAATTTTTCCTTACTTTTCTCTATTGTCAAATGCACACAACTGTCCAAGAGCATTCAGAGTGGTGTCGCTGCAATCTGTGTTTCCTGAATTATTTGCCATTGATGCCATTTATTGAGAAAAGTGCGATGAACGTTTTTTTTTTTTGGGGGGGGGGGAGAACTTTTCTTCAGTGACTGAAAAGTCATTTCTAAAATTTCAGACATCAATGAAATAATAGCATGAAATTATTCATAGCAACCACCATTGATAGGTGATTTAGTAACCACTGTTTCTGTAAGTAATGTTTCTGATTTAGTAACTACTGTTTCTGTTAATAGCAGTAATGGATATCACTTCTCGAAAGTGACTTTCTGTGCAGAAGACTAAAATCTTTTTAAACTGAGTAGTAATCCTAATGAGATTTATTGTAGTTATAAAAAAAATGAATTGCAAACTGTAATAAAGATAGTGGACAGGAACAGAGGTTCACCAGTAGTGGTCTACCCGTAAAATTGTTGAATCCTGGTGATTCGACTTCTGTTCATAAAAACGAGTTAATTGCATTGGAGTGTTTTGTGGGTTTTCTCGTGTGTAATGTACTGAGCCAGTTTCTCTGTCTTCCACAATGCATTCCTTCCCTTAGGCTGATAGTTCTTGTGTGCTTTGCCATACCTAAATAACACAGTCCAATCCTTCTTAGGAACTAAATATGGCACAAGGGTTTCATGTACATTGCTGTTTTGAGTTATGTGATGATTCTTTTCTAAGTTACTTTGTATTTTTCTGTTCAGTTACTGTAAGCTCTGCTGTGATAGTTGGTATAATAAATAATTTGTTGTATTCATAAAAATGGTAGCTAAATTAATGAACTAAAACTTGTCATTAATAATCATCTTTTGAGTATAGTAAAATCCCATTTAAATAAAAGAGCAAAGGAAAATAATATCTAATTAGTGAATCCAAGAACTGGTTAGTCTGAGTTTTCATAACTGTTTTCTTACACGTTTTATTATGGAATATAACGTACAACTGACCTCTTTATGCTGTACTTAATAAACTGTGAGGTAAGTCTCAGTACTTGTATGTTAACCGAAGACTTTGAGTAGAACTAAGGTTGGGCATTTCTGTTATGCTTCTTATGTCAAAAAGGCAATGTAAGGTATTTTCTCCCTCCTTACTCTATGTGGTGCATTTGGAAAGCATGTCTGGCTAACCATCAGAAGATCTGGATTTCGAATCCTGGCAAGGCCAATGCACATTTTTCGCATCTCCTGCTCCAAAATAAAATGCCTAATGGTCTAAAATTGACACCCAAGCTAAAAAGGTGATGGATGATAATTTGTCATCACCTGGATTTGGCCCCCTCCTTAGCCAGTTGCCCTTTAAAAGGGGGAGTATGTGTTCTCTCGCACTTTACCACTTGCCTATGTGGTTAATTGGGAAGTGCGTTTGGTTAGTAATCAGAAGGTCATGAGTTCAAATCCCAGTGAGGACACTGTACATTTTTCACATTTCCTGGTTTATAAAACCTGATGATTTTATATTAGTCATGGAGAACCTTTTAAGGTCGAAGTGTCAAAATTTGGAAAAACCCTCTCTGCTTCTGGTGCTGTGTCACATATAGAATTAATTATCTATCTGCCAAGACTGCATTTGGACACAGCCAAGGTAAGCACAGCATATTTTGAATGATGAGGCTATTGCAAGAGATAAGTTTTTTTGTATTATAAGATTTTGTTTTTGTCTCCACTAACGCCTTTGGAAACACATGATTTTTGTCACCAAAATGGGTTCACGTATCACTTCTGACTCATGTGTCACAGGTTTATCATCACTGCTGAATATATTTACATCAAGAAGTCTACTGTCAGTGGGTGTACTGCATAGGGATATGTCCACCAAGACAGGAAGTGTTTAGTGACAATGACTGCCAGCCAAAGGGCATGGGTTCGATTCCCAGGAAAGGTATGGGTGTTTGTTAGCCCCTGGTGTTGATGCAGCAAGGGGGCACTCAAAATATATAGTGAGCCAAAAGTCTTCTTGAGAGGTTCAGGTAGGAGAAGAGGGGTGTTAGCTAAGTACAGCAATACCTCAATCACTTATGGTATTACAGAAGTGCTGGCCTGTTTTTATCTGTGTGGAGATATAAGTTAAATTGTTTGATATATGATGTTCTAGGCATCCAGATCTGGTTTCAAGCATACGCGATGTAGGCAACCACCTAGGGTACCAAATTTCAGAGGATGTCGGCTAAGTTACTTTTTCAGTCCAAAAATAACTATAATGTGTGTATTTTCAGTGTTTGGAAAAATATTGTAAAAATTCATATTTTACTCTTAATTTTAGCAATTGGAAATGCATTTGCTGTATTAAGTGATCCTGTAAAAAGGAAACGATATGATATGTATGGCTTGGAAGCAATGCAAACAACAGAAAATCCTCAACGCGAAGGATATTTTGCTTATGCACATGCTTTTGAAGGTAATTTACCATTTTGTATATATAATAAGTAGCTAATATTTATTTCTATCTTCTGGATGTGTAGAGTAGAATTTTTTAAAAATCTTTTATTAAGTACTGCGTATGAATATTTTACTTTATATTTTTGCTTAAATATTAAAATAATAAGTTGTTTCAGTTACCATTTTACGGTATGAAGTAGGGGATACAGAATCGTCAGGACTTATGTGATTCTGGATTTATATCATTAATTCAAATCTCATAAGATTAAATTTGGAAATTTAAAATTAAAAGTGTGACATGACTGTTTGTGAAATAATGAAATATTTTTATGATATCTTAAGAGAAAGGTTCAATACTGTATTTTCTTCCCTATTTTACTGATTTTATTTTCCCAAAATTGAGAGTTGGAATTTATGTGAATAATTCAATTTTCAAAGAATACAGTTACAGTAAGAACAGAACCAACGAAAAATAGTCATGGAGAAGCAACAGGTAACTATCATAGTATTATTTCTTTAATTCTTTCACATCGAAGTTGTCCCAAATGCCTACCATTCAGATATCAGCAGGTCACTCAAACACCTGAATCATTTTCTACCTAGTGCTTTCCCCCATCGTGTTAGTGCATTGTTCATTGCTTTCAGGAGTTAAATGACAAATGACATGCCAATCATTCTTTTGAACCGACTAAATGTAGTTCTGTTCCTTTAATGCACCTTTCTTTTCCTTTGCTACTGTCAATGTTTAGCTATTGATGTCTAAAGTTGTAATCCTGTCCTAAGGGGAAACTGCACACAGTGGGAAAAGCATCCAAGAAAGAAGTTGTTGCTTTACTTAAGTAGGTTATTGTTAGCGCTGTATCATTCTACTTGTCATGGGGGAAAGAAAATCCATTCCAACAAAAAATACATATATATGGGTATTCCAGATGTTCGAATGAAATAGATTTTGGTGTCTATCAATGAAAAAGAGTTAAAAGAAACCTACATTTCAGTAAGAATACACAATAACATTACACAGTCTAATAAAATATCATCATTTTTACTTGCCTATAACTTGAATCACACCTGTTCTTATTGCTGTCTCTGCTCTCCTTAGGCCTCAAATTATCCATAAGCAATTAAAGAAATTGTTTAGATATAAGATTAGTAATAAAATATTTAAGCTAAATTTGCAGTTTGATTTGTTAGTGCGTTCTGATTTATCTGATGTTTGGAAAGCAGCCTTTTTTAATGATTATGTTGGTCTTGCTGAAAAGTGGTCGAGAGGGGAAAAAAGTTTAACCCCCCCCCCCCAAAAAATTAGAGAATCAAAGTAAATTTAACTGATGTTGCAGGATTTTCTTTATTTCAAGCTTCTGATAACTGTTGTATGTCTTTTTTTTTAGGTGATATTACTCCTGAGGAGCTTTACAACATGTTCTTTCATGGTAATAGCAACATGTTCTTTCAGGGTAAGTTTTAACAACGGGTATTCTGTTTTAAACTGTGATAAAATTGTTTCAATTTATTGCAGACTTTTGAGATAGTTTCTGTTGCAAGTTAAAATAATCTTTATTAAAATTTTTTTTCTTTGTTATGTATTCTTTTTACTTCCATGTAGAAAGTAAAGGAAGATTGTAATCCCGGAAAATTTCGTGTCTCATATTTCAGTGGAAATATCCATTTTGATCATTCTGAATGCATTTGGATGATTATTTTGTGCAAGGTTCTGTTGTACATACATATGTATATATCTCGCATAACTCAAAAACAATTAGCTGTAGAATGTTGAAATTTTATATTTGAGACTGCTTCAACATCTAGTTGTCTTCCTCCCTTTTTTATTGCAATCAGTTGCTCTCTCACTCTCTATATAAGGTAATTTTTAGTAATAAATACTTGCACTTAAAGCTGCAAAGTAATAAAATAATATTTAATTTTCTGGTAGATTATTGAATATATTATCTTTGAAAATAAAGTAGTTCAGTGATAATTCTATTGAAATGAATTTACTCATTAGCACATTTAAAATTAAATTATTAAAATGGAATAATTAAAAGCGAAAATATTAGCTGACTTTTCAAGGAGAACAAATTTCCAATCAAGTAACAATAATTAATAGATGTGAAAGTGTTTTGTCTTTTTCCCAAATAAGAATCAAGACAAAAAGGCTGTTTAGTAAGATTAAAATTATTCAAATTGCTAATTAAGAAGGAGTATGAAATTGGTGGTTCTGTCTAATTTGAAATGCAATCTTCTAATAGGAGTGTATAATTATTGTAAGAGTGAGTTTTATTTTCTTACTTGAGAAAATTGCTCCTCGACATTTTCACCTTTGATCATATTAAAACAATGCAAACTTTGTTGAAACAATTAAACAATGAAGAGTACAAGAATATATTCTCATAAGACTCAAATGGAATATTATGAATGTATAAAAAAAAGGAAAATTTACGTAATATACATTAAAGGCTAAAAATGAATTTAATTAACTTTCGTGTTTGCTAGCTGTGAAACTAAGACAATACGTCCATTAATTTTTTTTATACTCAGAATTTGGAATTTGAACCAGGATGTAAAATGGAGGGGAAGAGAGAGAATATAGGCAGGGACGTGTTGGATGCTATTTTTAGAAGGTGGGAAAAAGAAATGGTGTGTGGTTAATCTGTGTTGTATTGTGCATTAGCACATAGGCCATATTGAGTATGTTTCCTCTATTTAGCACAGTTTTAATTAAAAAATCAAAATAACTACAAAATCTTTATTTAACAAGTATGATATTTCTGCTTAAGTAGAACAACACCAATTAAAGTAACAATTTTCACCTACATTAAAAAATTGAAGTATTGGAAAGAATAATTTATATAGAATTATCGTTATTCCTAAAAATCATCAGCCTTACCTATTTAGGCAATGAAAAAAAAAAAAAAAGAAAAAAGAAAAGAAAAGAAACAGGAACATACTTTGACACAGTACCTGAAAGAGAAAGCAGTAACTGAATAAGACCTTTTTCCCAGATACAAGTAGCTGAGGTGACAATCCCCTGAATGCCCCCTGGCCTTCGCTTTCTCTCGCCAGTATATATATATATATATATATATCAGTGCATGTTCGTTTTTTATGCTTTTGAGTTTATGAAAAAATACCTAAATTTATGCCAACATTGCTCCTGTTTTGCCAAAGAAACTCGTACCAATTGCAATTCATTCTTGTAGAACTGAAATTTAGCTTTAGGAATTGGTTTAGTCATATCAGCAACCATTTGCTCTATTGAAAGATAAAGTTTTACTATTCCTTTGTTATGCAGGTCACGTATATGATGCAATATTCTATCAATGTGTTTTGTACGCGAACTACGCTTTTCAGATTCTACAAGTTTTATTGTTGATTGATTACCTTTTACAATTTACCTTGGCACAATTTGATGATTTTTTACGCATGAGACATGCAAGTTACTTATCAAGTGTAAGTTGGTGGTTGTCACATCTTGTTTTTAAAAAGATTCCAAAACTATCAATATTGTTACAAATTTTTTATATATGTAAATAATTTTAGTGAAATTGTAATACTTTTGTATAATATAACATGAAATGCTTGAAAGAGACGAAGCTGTGCTGGGCTCGCTAAACTGGCAAGATATAGCCAAGCTGATTTCAGTAATACATTAAGTATCTTTGAAATCATTACAGATTTTGAGGGCACTGTCTAATTTTTATTCACATTTTCATACTTTATTCAGAAAGTAATAAAAATTAATTTTTATGCTTAAGTTTTAAGAGACATAATAACATAAATTCTTATGCTCAAGCTATATGTTCTCTAAATAGATTGGTAGACCATTGCATTAATTAAAAAAAATGAAGTGATTTAATCTTAAACATGATAGTCTTTGTCTTAAGGTTTTAAGAATTATATTACATAGATGAATAATATTATATTGTAGAATTCCTGACTTTGTAAATACTAAGTTACTGTAGAAAGTGAAGACGCTTAGGAACTGATAAGCAAATAATCGCTTGAGTTCGTGTGACAAGAAACAACAAGATGGAAGGGTAAAAAACCCTTTATTATTCAGATAAAATTTAACAGAACTCCGTCTTGGAGTGTACAATAAAAGCCGACACTTGAGCTTGAACTTAATAGGCCAAGAAGTAAACTAAAACTAGTCTAAACTAAAGAGATATAGCCGAAGCTATCAAGATTCTAACCTAGTTGGCCCCTTAACGCTAATTGACTGCGAAGCTATCAAGGGCCTGAGTACGGCCGAGCGTAATAACAGCTTTGAGAGAAGGTAGCCAAAAAGGCGGACGCGTGCTAATCAGAATCTCTGATTCTCTCTAACTCAGCAAGTAGAGCTATGTGGTTAAATACTGCTCTTCCTCATTATGTATTCAGACGTGATTCCAAAACTACGTTCTGGCTGGAAGTAGTAAGTTGAAATTAAGAATTTGACAAGAAAGAAGTTTAACTCAAAATTTAACTGTTAATAAAATTAACATAATTCTTACAATATAATTTTATATATATTATATCATCTTATGTTATAATAATTATATATAATAAATATTATCATATTATAATGATTATATATAATAAATATTATTACATATAATCATTATAATAATGTGAGAATTTCATCTTAATATTTTCAATTATTGGGTTTTTTTAAACATTTTTCTTTATAAACAAGTTGAAATTAATTCTTTTATCAAATTGAGGTTTATTAACTATACAAGAAATATAGTTTTAATCTTTCTATGATATCACAATCAAGTGATTTGTGATGTAAAATTGTGTGTGTGTGTAAACTGGTGTTACTTTGTTGCTTATGGGTTTTAATACTTAATTTAGGACAAACATTTGTTAGAAGGGATGGACGGTGGCAACGATATCAAACTCGACCGCCATATGAGGTAACAGCAAATGTTTATTTAAAATGTTTTAGTTTATGTTGTTAGTTAGATTAAAAGTTCAATGCCCTGTGTAACATTTAATTTTCAGTAATATTGCCTTAATATTGTTATTTATATTGAAGTGTAAAGAAGAATTTCACTGTGGATTAAGCTGATTTATACTGCATATTATTTGCTGGATGAGCCATAATGATGGATATATTATAAGCAAACTCATCTAGAAATGAAAACATATTTGCTAAGCACTTTGTTTCAGTTGAGTTCACATTACTGTTCGTGGTTTAAGTAATCACATGCTTGGAATATGCTGGTCATTACTTCTAATAAAATTTGTATCATTTGTGCAATAATGCAATTAAATGCTTGGCGATGAGAATATCTTATCTCCTTATGGATGCTGTTTTTAGTTGAGTTGTGTATGGTTTCCCAATTCCAGTGATGTTAGGGCCCACCAGCGGCCGAGCAGTAAAGACACTAAACACTGGTAGTTCGATCCGAGGTTCGAATCCCACGAACGGGCTGGCTACATGGGTGTTTTCGGGGTTTTCCCCATGTGTAACATGTATACGAGCCAGTTTCCCTTAGAAAGTCCACAATTTCCTTAGAAAAGAATCCACAATTTCCTTTGCCTTAGAAAGTCCATCTCTTCCTTTAGGCTGATAGCCCTTATGTGCTTTGCCATAATTAAATAATCCAATCCAATCCACTGATGTTAGATCTGCCGATCATAACATTCAGTAAATTCACTGAATTTAGAATTGAGGCATTCAGGAATCAAAGTCGTTGAAATCAGGAAACAAAGCCACCTTAACTGATAGTTAATGCTGCTGTCTTGTGGCACCATCTCATGTTGAGGATGACAGTCAGAGCTAACTTGGAGATAGAACTGGAGTCTATTGGTTAGAAACTCAAGATGTTATTTCAGTGCTTGGATCTGTTTCTCAGTGTTAATACTGGTCAAGTTTTTCTCTGTAAAATATTGAAACACAATATGTTCTAAATATGGAGGGTAACTAATTTGCATAAAATAAGATAGCCCTCATTACTATATTCCAATCAATATTAAATCATCCTTATTATTATTATCCAATCTGTATTAAATCATTTATTTAATATACAAGTGCCCTTGTCTCTGCATGTATTGTGTACTTATTACTGAAACCTACATATAACTTGTTATTTGATAAATCATATGCAGTAGAATATTTCTAACATTTAATATAATAGCAATAAACTGTACAGCATTGTGTATTGTATGTTTGCTCTGTACTTTGCCTTTTTCTCTTTCTTGAACATGAGAAAATAGAAGTTCTGGTACTAAGCTTGATCCTGGAGTGCCAATAGAAGAAAATATACTGCATAGTATCATGTGTAATTTTAAGGATGTCAGATCAATAAAAGCCATGCTTTCCATCAAAGCATTGTATAAGTAACAAATTGCTAATCTGAGTTTGAATTTTACATGAGTATTATTTTTATTAATATGTTAAATCAACTGTGTGAAAAGAATTCTAAGCACATGGGAGTTACTGTACAGAGTGTGCAAGTAGAAATGGTACAAAATACATCAAGGAAGATCTTCTCTAAAAGTTCTGCTGTAAATATTTATGGAAAATTCCAGAAATGAGCTTTATTGATATGAAAGGGATGCTTTATATGTGGAAATTCCTCAATGAAGCCATCTTCAGCATTAATCATAGCCTCCAGATGACTTGGAATCAAGAACTAGCATATCTAATGTAGAGAATGGTAGAGATTAGTTCACACGAGAATAGGTCGCATCTAGAATACTTTATTTATTTACATTATACTGAAAAGTAAAAGTAAAAGGAATAATCGTCAAAACATTTCGGACACGTCTCTCCTTGCTATCGTACAGCTTTCGTCTTACCACATCTTCATCTAGATGGCCCTTTTACATAATAATCTTGGGGAACAAATCATGAAGTACCCAGTAGGTTTTCAGCTCATATTTTAAATTCATTAGGTAGTCTTATTAGTCTTATTAGTGAAATACCACACTAGTGGCTGAGTTGTTAAGACTACCAAAAAGTGTCATTGCAGGTAAGGGGCTAATTGCATGGTGGGTTTTTTTTTTTTTTTTCTTAGTTTTACCCATATATAACTTGAATATGAGCTGTTTTCTGTAGAAAGTCTTCTAATAAGGCATCCCTTCTCTTAAGCTGATAGACTTCATGTGCTCTGCCATATTTAAATAACCTATCCTTATTAATAATCTTTCAGTTGTGCTTATTAGTGACCTTTCATAATAGTCAAGAGGATTGCATTTGGTTGAATTTGGAGACCATGTAGAGATATTAGGTTATTTTGGAAACATGAGAGATGAAAAATGAGCAACGCCCTCGCCGGGAATTGAACCATGAACCTCTGGAATATGCACCCAGCGTACTGACCATTACACTACAAAGGCATGCTAAGAAGGCTGGATAAATACCTTATATACTTCCCCTTTTAAAGGATGACTGGGGTTTAGGGGACCCAACCGCCAAATCCTGAGCATGGAGAATCATCATCATCCATCACCCTTTTAGTTCGGGTGTCACTGTAGAGACATTTAGTTATTTTGGAAGCAGGAGATACGAAAAATGAGTAACGATCTCACCAGGAGTCGAACATGGACCTCTGAAATATGCGCACGGTGTGCTGACCACTGCGTTATAAAGGCATGCTAAGAACACGGGGGAAAATAACTTATAACCACATGTCAGGTACCATGACCCCCCCCCCCAAAAAAAAATTATCTTCAAGCAACTTCTGAATTTTCATGGCCATGTACACAGTTTTGCTGGAATGCATATATTCTTCCTGCAGTAACTTAAATCCAGGACTTGAATATAGTCACCAGAATGTTTAATAATTTTTGCCACTTGAAAAACCTTTTTCAAATATGTGGGGGGGGGCATAACTTTCTTTATCACTGCTAACAACAATGAAGACCATCATGTGAACAAGAAACTTTGGTCATGTCTTTAGGTATAGCCATCCTATTGTGCCTATAGTGTGCTTGATTTTAGCAAATGTTTTTCTCTCAGAGTATGCCTGATTTTATGCAAAAGTTTCTTGGTCTTCAGAAGACATTCCATTTTTTATGTTTTCAATAAGATGTTCACTTTGTAGAACTTAGCAGTGGTTGCCTTTCAAACAAAATCTTATAGTCATCTCAAAATGGCCTATATGTTGACACATGTTACATATGATTGAGATGAAAGGGTGACTTTCAATGAGCTTTCTGTAATGTTTAAATGAAATTAGTATTCTTCTTTTGGTACAGCTGATTAGTAAGCTTTCTGCTTGACCTATGTTTTTCTTGTAACTAGGGTCTTCTTAGCAAAATCTGAATCTACCAACTTTTGCTTAATTCAGGAATTAAGCAACAGGTTTGTGGCAATTTCAGTTTGTCTGTAATAATGTTGGTTATTATGGTATAGATGGAAAATCATCATATTTTCCTTTTCTAGTCTTCAGGCCACTCATGTCATCCAGTCTGTATTCTTTGATGTCTTATGCTGAAAACCAGAAATAAAAAATATGGACCAAAAAAAATCTTATACTTTCTTTTATTTGCTTGTTTAAACTCATGCCAGTTCTGTTTGTGTACCTTTTACCTTAAACCAGGGATGTGCCAACTTTTTCGGTCGCGGTCTAAAAAGCGAAAACAAAAAGTTTTGTAGGCCAAGATAAATTTTTCTAAAATTTTAAAAACGATATACAAGTATTACAATTTAAATATGTTAATGATATGAATGAAATTGTGATTTAATTATTAAAAGTTCCTGATATTGAGTTTCGAAGTGAGATGTACTGATTCTAAGGAACGAGGCTAAAATACTCATCTGTCAATCTACTTCTGAAATAATTCTTTCTAAGGTTCATAGTTGAAAACACTTGTTCACATATATAAGATGAAGTTAATATAGCACTGATTTTCGGGGCGTGAGATATTAAATTTTTGGAAACTTACTTTTGATCATGATTTATAAAACTCTGGCATATTTAGAAAAAATTGCTTGTGATGATTGTTAGATTGCAACTCAATTAATTGAAGCTGCAAATCTGACCTCACTGCTTCACAATTTACTTTGAAAGGCATGATAAAATTATCCAGTTCTGTTTGAATGCCACTGAAATCTTGAAATCTTTGTTTGAACTCAAAATGCATTTTTTTCAAGCCATCTTCATAATTCTTAAACTTCTCTTCATTTACTGAGGATATTGAATTTAACCTCCGGAAATGAGACAAGTTATTCTTAGCTAGCTGCCCAGCAAACAGATTAAGTCTTCTTATTAAGTTTTAAGTTAAGACTAAGCTTTTTCTAAGAGGTCTAATTCACCTATATTAGATTCCCATATGTCTGCTCCCCAAGAAAGAAATAACGCTTTATAGTGCCAATCTGCAGTTATAAGTAACAAAGAACTTCCATTTTTAACACTTTACCAATTGAAAGCTGTTTGCGCTTGCTATTTATGTTTATGTTTTTGGAACAAAAATAAAGTAAAAAGATCATCAGCCCTTTGAAAAAAAGGAAGAAAAAAATAATATTTAAACAAAGTAGTAAAGGAGATGGTATATAATATATAAATATATATTTCTTTTAATTTTCCTTGGACCAGCAAATTAAAATTCTATCCACGGGCCGGATAGAACCTTCTGGCTGTGCCCGTATTTTGCCCATCCCTGCCTTAAACCATTGCAACCTATTTTCATTCCATGGATATTTTATAACATTTGTGTTTATTTGCTTGTTATTAATATTTTAATATTCAAAAATTTCTGAATAGTAGGAAAGTGACATAGCTCTTGATGCCACATTAATTCCTTTAACATTTCTGTGTTGGAATTAATATCTAATTGGTAATGATTCAAAACATGCTTTTTCAAAGTTCTGTACCATATTTTTAAAAGGCTATATTTTTTTCATATAAGACATATTCTTATTTCCAGCAGGATGGCCGCAGCACTTTGATGCAGATTTTGCCTCTTGTTTTTATCATATTAGTATCAGTATTGAGTTCTTTCTTTGTTTCTGACCCTCCATACAGTCTGCAGCGAACTACGTATGTATATTTACATTCATTTCAGTAATTAGTATGTATATAAAAATTAACATCACTATGTGGATTTTGTGCATTTGCATGCTGTTAGTGCAGTTATAATTTACATTTTAAGCTAATCGGATGCAGAAATTAGATATATTTCTAGAGCAGAGTTTCATCACATTTAGTATAATTATTCTTTTTGTTATGTGAACACAAAACATTGAAGGGGCTGGTAATAAAATATCATTTCAGTAATTATAAGGCAGAAATTCTTTCTGGTAGGCCATAAGAAGATGCTTCAAAAGTTTAGTAAAATGATATAATAATTAAAAATAACTGTGAATTTCCCTGATAAGGTTATAGATGATTTTGTTCTTTTGTGGGGCAAATTTAATTAAACTCGGAAAACTTCAAGAGTCTATGTTTTAAAAAGGAAAGTTTAAATTTAATTTTAAGTGTTTTTGTTATCTGTTAAATAAAATGATTTTCAAATTCATGGCAGATTTGCCTTTTCAAAGAATTTAGTTGTTAACTATATTTTCTTTCATAATGCTTAATTGTAATACAGTACAAAGTCCGTAATCCGGACTCGTCGGGACTTCGATTTCAGATTAGGGGTTTTTCCGGATTATAGATCATCAATTTAAATCTGCAAAGATGGCATGCAAAAATTATATAATTAAAAATATGAAACCGTAATTTATGAAATAATGAGCAATTATGATCTAAAGGGTATCAAAATTTATAAAAAAAAGCTTAATATTTATTTGTTTACTTTATTAAACATTTCTTTCAATGTAAGTTCTTTAAGTTGCTTCGTTTTTGTGTTAATACTTTCTCTTTAATTCTATAAACAGACATAATTTCTTATTCAGCTACAAAGTTCCTGTAATTGCTGTGTCGAGAATACCGACTAACTTGTCAATCAAAATTTTTTCATTTTGAATAGCCTGTCACTTTCTTGACTATTAGAAGTGCGCATGGGTAAATGCATTACGTGCATGCGTAAAGTTTGTGGCTTTGAGGTCTGGATTATAGATCATTCTGGATAATGGACATCCAGATTATGGATTTTGTACTGTAATAAAAATTTATAGCTTTGTATTATGTACTTAAAGATAACTGAGAAGAGAGAACTCTTTTAAAATTTAAACATGCATTAATATTTTTGTTTCTGTTAAAAGTATTAACATCCAACTTAACATGCCATAAGCGTCTTGAGTTAGTTACTGTATATTATTAAAGAATGTTAGATATATATACTCTATGGTTTTATTTTAATACAAGTTTTGTACAATCCTTAAAAGTACTTAATAAAAGTCCCGTAAGTTTTTTTTGGGAAACGATTTTCGGTACTTAACCCTTTTGCGCCGCTGCACCTCTGTTTAAGATGCTCGTGCAGGACGAAAGGGAATTGAAGGCAGTCACCATACAGGATGAAAGTTTGCATTGCTAAGCCTAATTTTATAAAAAAAAAATCAGAAAAATAAAGTATCACTTCTAGCATGTAACTTGCATGCAGCATGTGTAAAAAATAAGTGTCAGAGAAACAGTCTAATTTTTTTGTACAGTTTTTACCTCAGAATCATTAGTTATGTTTTTATCAGTATAATTATTTTTGCTGTTATTGTAAGGTTTTACTAATGAACATGTAGGTAAATACTTTTCTTATTTGTATGTACTTTTAGATGGCATGATGACATTAAATTTATATGATGAATTTAATTTTAAAACTAATGTGTTTTAAAATGTAATGCATTGTGAAACTGTATAGAAAGTACAAACTTTTTAAATAGATGTAGTCTCAGAAAATAACCAGCATACAAAAATTTTAGGTACGATACAATACTTCTCATTTAATTAATAGAGAGGATATTTTACAGAACATTAGAAGCACTATAATGTGTGATTCTGTGTGTTAGCAACCTATGAACCTTGAACCTTTGAATGCAGCTGATTTTTGGCAGACATAAATTGCCAACTGACATATATATTACTGAAAACATAAGCTTCTATTTACACCTCTGAAACACAGACTGTATCAGTAGTTTCCAATATGAACATTTATAAACTAATGTTAAAAAGTTAATTTTTTATTGCCCATTTATCATCAAATTCTAAATTCACAATTTTATTAGATGTTGAAAATTTAATTTTTTGTAATATTATATAGTTGACTGTTTTAACTTTTGAAATGCTATTAGTAACAGTTTCTCTAAAACACTGTATTAATAAATTGTTTTAGCCCAGAAGGGCTGTTAATTTAGTTCTTGCATTTTGCATCAAAAACTTTTAAAAGTCAATAACTTTTCAGATTATTGCCACCAAATATTATCACCCTGTATTATATTTCGAATCTGCATAAATAATGTATGTAATGTATCTTTCTCTTATTGTGATAAAACAACTGTACCTAGAGCCATCAAAGTTTGAATAGCGTATGTCTCTGTCCAAATATGGGCATCTGGAAGCTCAAATTTGGACATCTGTTTCATATTTTGTAAAGCATTTTGATTAAAAAACTCATCAATTTCAAAGTGAGCAATGGCAACACAATGTGGAAAAAAAAAACATTTTTTTTTTTTTTTTTATCCAGTGCGCGAGACTGTGTATCAGAAATTGTAAAGATATGCTGTTTTTAAATTATTTTGAAATATTGCTGTGGAATTTAATTTTATGATTTAAGTGCGAAGACCATGATATTTAATAAATAAAGGTAACACACAAAGCATTACAAAATTGCCCCTTGGGGGTAATATAAAATCTGTAAGCTTTCAGATTTTTTTAATTTGATTTTTTTAAGAAGTGTATCAGGACTTGTATTTCTCTTGATTTGCGTTGGAAACATGAATGGTCCTGAATTGGAACAGGGAGCTTACTCAAGCTATGTTCAAGAAAGTGTGAAGTAGACAACACAAGCAGGAAAAATAAAGGGTATACAAATAGATAGAAACCCTTTATTTTCTATCTTTTACAGGATCTTCTGAGCTTTGGAATACAAATACCAACCACTTGTGGTCTGAATGTAAGAATATAAAAACTACTAACTAAAACTCTAACTAAAAACTAACTTTGAATTAGTATACAAATGCCTAGCACTAAGATTGGCCTTTATTTAAAGAAAGGTACGTATGTAGTACGCCGAGCTGCTTAAACTACAATACGTTTGCAAATAACAAGAGGGCTAAACCTCTGGCCTTGAAGGCAACCAGCAACAGAGTGAAAACTCGTAAAACTACAGTGGCAAGCGGCTTGCTTCCTATAACTCCTTCCTCTCTCTCTCTTGGCAAAAAGCCACAACTTAAGTACTTGGCGTTAGCAAGACAATTTGCATAAACAAGTTAAAGCATTTAATTCTGGCCGGAAGTAGAAAATAAGAAGTGATAGTACAGTTTTAAAATAAAATAAACGTTAGTAAAACTTAGGATCCTTACAAGTGGAGATAGTCAAACTTCCTATTAGTGGACATTCTTGGGACCAAGGCTTTTATCCATAATCATGGAGTATTTGCATTGGTCTTCTGTTTCAAGGATCTGGGGATTAATAGAAACTGTTTACTAATGGAAATTGCTTGCTTAAGTGAAGGATCCGTTAATTCCCTAAGTGTATGTTGTAATGTTCTGCATTGTCATAAATTTATCTTTACAAAATTGAATTATTAAATATTTCTTTCTTTAGGAAGTATTTGTATGAACAAAAAACAAGCAATTTAGATGTTCCGTATTATGTTCGAGAAAACTTTCTTGAAGACTACAAAGGTCGAATCCCTCACATAGAAAGGCAAGTTGAAGAAGAGTATATAGTAACAATCCGGACTTCATGCTTTAGGGAAAGAAATTATAGTAAGTTTTATAGCAACTGTAATATGTGTATTATATTTACCATTGTTTTTAGTTTATTTAAAGGGCAAATAAAGTAAGAGAAACCGTAGTGTTTAAAGTATCTAAGGATTTTTGGTTTGTATTCAGGCTGGTCTCTGCATTTTCAATCCTGTAGTTGCCAACTCTTCTGGTTCTGGTAAGGAAAATTCACAGTTTTACCACACATCTCCGGTACCCCCAAAACTCCTGGTTTTTAATTTTTAGAATGAAAATTGAATTGTTTTCATTCCAATGAAATTGTTTTCAACAATAAAGTTAAATTGAGCAAATAAAATAAATTTGTGGGATTTTTTTTTTATTTTTATTTTTATTATTATTATTATTATTATTATTATTATTATTATTATTATTTGTGTGTGTCCTGATTTGTCTTAATCTACAGTAGACATTTATAGAACTGTATGTAAAGATTCAGTCAAATGTTATAAATAAATATTTATACTTAATTTTATGTTAATAAATGTATGCAGAGCCTGACTAAGGCAGGGGCATATGGGCAGTTGCCCTGGGCCCCCACATCAGAGGGGGCCCCAAAATCGAATAGAAAGTTTATTGTACGTTTCCTTCTTTAATGAACTTATTTTTAACTTTTCTTTAAAAGCTGTTTAACTTATTTTTAAGTGCATAGGACTTGCCTATGGTATTTTTCATTAATTAATTCAAATTGTTAAAAAAAGTCTTTATATTTTCTAATTATAAATTTAAATAGCATTTTTGTCAACTTTTGTCTCTTCAGATGTGCTATATCCTTTTAATGATGGACATAGAATTGTCAGAAAATCAATAAAATATACAGAACGATATTTCGTCTGACCATTGAAAGGGGGCATGATTTTATAGCTATCTTAGGTTCTAATCAGTTTTCTTGTTATATATCTATAATGAGGTGACAAAGTTCCATAAAGTTCTCCATAAAAAACTCCATAAAGTTTGGTTCTTCATTATTGAAGTAGTGAGGCAGAGGGGGGCCCCAAAAAAGTTTTTGCTCGGGCCCCTATTAGGCTAAGTCGGGCCCTGAACATATGGTACATTACGAGGTTTATCCATGCATAAGTATGTGCATTAATTATTAATTCTATTTTTGCCATGTTTAAAAGTATTTTGATAAATAACTTTCCTTTCCTACTCAGAATTTTTTCAGTATAAAAGTGTAAGTAAATTACAAAATGAAATTCACCAAGGAACATAAAACTTATAAATAATTTTGAGAAAAAAATGGCGCCACCAATAAGTTATGGTTAAAATTATCTGAAGTAAAATGCCATATCCTAAGATTAGACATCTGCTTACAACATAATGTAACGTAGTTTTTATCGAAATAACAGATGAGTTTCATAGTAAAACATAAATTTTATTATCAATTTATGAAGCTAGATAATTTAAATAAAATTCCATCAGATACAGCTTCACACTCCAGCTTACCATTACGGTTTCTTTCTTTAAATTTTACGTATATCCACTGCTGGTAAAACGTTCTGAATACTTTTTTTTTTAAAACATTTTTTGGCATTGCTCAGGAATGGTTACACGATACAAATATGGTGTTGCCACTCCAATATCAAGGATAATAAATATAATTATTTGTTAAATAATAAAATATTACTATAACCTTGGAATATTAGTGATTTTGTACCGGGTATTTTTTTCATGGTCCAAAAAATAAAAAAATTGTGTTCATTTGTGATTAGCCTCGAAAGAGGAAGTGTTCTTCTGATGTGGTATCTGTATGCTGCTAGAAAGATAGGAAAAAGTAGTGGCTAGTGACTGACAATATTTTAAGTGAAATATGATGTACTGTTCCTTCACACTAAATGACCCAATTTTTTATAAAACAATGGCAAAGATTTCTTATACTCCCAGTATATGTATTTTTTCTGCAGTATGCACCAGAGAAAAATTTTATAATAGAAAGATAATAAGTCATCATTGTTTATTTTTAAGTTTTGTCCCACTTGGAAAGTTTAGTAATTTGTTTATTTTTAGTTTAAGCTAAAAGTAAGTTATTTAGTGGTTAATTCAGTATATTAGAATTGTGTAAAATAAATATCACTCTGAAATTTAATATTTAGCTATAAATATGCTTGAATTACAATGTATAAGTGACAGAAATTTCTGATACTAACCTTCAGATTTCAGACAGAAAATAAATATAAATCGAAATTTCTTCATTTTTGTCATTATTATTTCTGTTCATATATGTTTAGATAAATGTTTAGTAAAAAAAAATTTAAATATAGTTAAATGAAATATTTTGCTTCTTTAAAAACCTTTTAATTTTGGTAAAAAAATTCCTTTCTCTCAGCTGCTTTCGAATTACACAGAGTGCATTTAGCCGCTATGCAATTTAAGGTTAAGATCCTGTCTTGATCATTACAGTTCAGTACCCTGGATAAATTAAATGCTTGATAATTGAAAGTAAAATAAGCCCTTTTATTTGTCATTTGTGAGAACAATGTACCTAGCACTCTCTGAAAATTGATGTGTAGGTGGTTGCTTATGGTGCCTTGGCTAAACTGAACTGAATGGTACAGAGTTAGTGATTCTGAAAATTTCAGATGCTTTCAATTTCAGGTATTAAGGATTAATTGGTATTTTTTTCTATAGGAGTATGAAACAAATCTGAGTTTTGTTTTTATATCAATGTTGCCAGTATTTTTTTTGGCTTTAAATTTGCTATTTTACTTTTATACGTGTTTGTTAAAATTAAAATTTAATTTGTTTAAATTTGTTAGAATTAGATATAGCATACTTTCTCCATTGAATAGCATTCATTTGAAGGTAATTATGCGAATAACTGTATTTACAAATAAAAAATTACTGTGCTAATTTTCTGAGCTGAATTTTTTGTAAATAAATTTCTTTTTTCATAAATTTGTACAAGTAGCAACTAAACACAATTAGTGTTAAAACTTAAAGATTTTGCTTATAAGTTACTCTGGAGTAATTTTGAAGACTATAATGAGAATTCTATAGATTAATATATTTAAATAATGTATAGCAGTCATAGATGGTTAATGGTATTGTGGAATTTCTATTCCTAAATCGAAGTTATTCAATTGTATAATGTGAAAAGAAATTTTTTAAATTTTTATACAATTTAAGAATGTTTTGATGGGATAATTTTAAGATACTTGTAGGTGGTAATATATATATATACCTTATACCTTGGTAATGCATGTGTAGAAATAAGAATTTTAATAATAATCTTTTTGAAGGTGTAACTCAATGGGAAAATGCTATTTGTACCTAGCTTAAAGTGACACCTTTTGAGAGTAGTTATTTTTTATTACTTACAATAATTTCAAATCCAACTTAAATTTTTATTGTACATTTATCTTGAGTCCTTGTATCAATGTAGATTTATATCTAGCTTTGCACACCTTTGGAATGTTACAGTTGAAATTGATCGTAGTTTTTTCAAAAGAAAAATGAGTAGTTCTGTCACTGGGAAGCAGTATAGCCTGCCTTGCAGTTGATACTCTAATCATCTCAAGTGTAATTGAGGGCTCTTAACAGGACAAATCACTTCTTGAACATCCATTTGCCACCCAAGCGTGAAATTGGCACTTTTGCCAATACAGTCAAAAGTCGTTAATCCGGACTCGTCGTGACTTCGGCGATTCCGGATTATCGATTTTTCCGGATTATAGATCATCAGTTTAAATCTTGTAAGATGGCATGCAGAAATTACAAAATTAAAAATATGAAACCGTAATTTATGAAATAAATAATAATTATGATCTAAAGGGTATCAAAATTTACAAAAAGAAAAAGCTTAATATTTATTTGTTTACTTTATTAAACATTTCTTTCAATGTAAGTTGTTTAAGTTGCTTCGTTTCATGTGATAATACTTTCTCTTTAATTCTATTAAACAGACATAATTTCTTGTTTAGTTACAAAGTTCCACTGTTCAAGTCCTATAATTGCTGTGTCGAGAATACCGACTAATTTGTGAATCAAAATGTTTTCATTTTCAATAACCGCTCTGTCACTTTTCTTCACTATTGGAAGCGAATTATAATGACGAGGAACTTGATTTAAATCATATCAAAGATGGAGTACATCGAGATGAAATACTACATTTAGTAAGGAATTATAAGCCAAATAAAATAAAAACATCTGCCCTGAAGATAAGGATAGTGCTGACAGATCAACTTCCAATTCATTGCACGTTGCGGCATTTCTCTCCTCCCCCCCCCCTGCCACAGAGCAGCGTGAAATTGATAACCAGATTTCGGATTTCAAAACATACTTTCGATTTGTAGATCCTTTACATATTAGTAAATATATATCGGAAATTCTATTTGACATAATCGAAAGTTCAAACTTACTTTTATAAAATTGCTCTAACAGTCTGCAAAAAATAATAAGCCGGATCCAATTCGAAGATTAAGGAACAACGCCATCTGCAACATTAACTGAATTAGATAATTTTAGCTTAGCTTATACCGTCCGTTATACATTAAATGCGCATGCGTAAGCGTATTATGCGCTTGCGCACACGCATATTCGCAGCCGTAAAGGTATTACGCGCATGCATAAACACCTATGCACATGCGTCAATGCGACGCACGCGCAGAAAGTTTGTAGCTTTGAAGTCCGGATTATGGGTGTCTGAAAAACAACTTGTGACTGTATACATAATTCCTTTTATAACAAGGTCATGTGGAGTTGTAGACCCAAGAATTCATTAGCTCAAATAAAAGAAGCTTAACTAAGAGATTTTCCCTTTCCATTGAAATGAGATTGTCTTGTCATCGCTTCTTTCCAAACTATAAATTAACCCAATTTATTACTGGCCATGGAAATTTCAAAAGTTATCTGAGCAGATTTAAGTTAAGCCCTACTGTTTATTTTGTATTATGTTTCATACTTACTTCTGTAAGTCTCATGTGATACTTTATAGTTCATGGGGAACTCCTTGTGTTTTTTTAATAAAATTAAAAAAAAAAAAAAAACTGCCTATAAATTGCATGTGCTTTGTAAATTGGAGCACAGTCATATCAAAATAGCATTGAGCCCATAGGAAATTATTATAACAAAGTAAGCAGTACATAATTATATAAAATACTGAGCAAAACTTTGTTGTGTTCATGATTATTTTCTTTATAGAACTAGAGAAACAGAGTTCTAAGTATAAGAACAATCCCAAATTGTTATGCTACTAGATTTCACTGGTTATGATGCAGTGAAATAAGTACTATTCATCTGGCATTCTGCAACATATGTGGTCATTAAATTGCCAGATAATACAGCAAGATCTTTTACTCTGTAGCACACACTGTCATTGCTCAAGAAGCTATTGCCTTCAAATTTTAAATATCATAGGCCAGTTCTTGGAACTGATAGTATTAAATGTTGGTTTATGTGTAGTTGGTTGGCCATGAAAACCCAAAATTTGAGTTGTTGGCGAATCATAATTGTGGTAGTGTTACATCCAATTACACCTTGGGATTTGATTCTAATGATTTATGTTGTTTTCCTCTTTGATGATCTTTTGTCTCTGTTTGACAAATGCTATGGTCACCATTTGTAGCTCTTGCACATTACTACTTCACTTTGATATCATTTACAAGAAATGGGGAATATGTGATATTGCAGATTTGATTCTAATGATTTATGTTGTTTTCCTCTTTGATGATCTTTTGTCTCTGTTTGACAAATGCTATGGTCACCATTTGTAGCTCTTGCACATTACTACTTCACTTTGATATCATTTACAAGAAATGGGGAATATGTGATATTGCAGAATTTCTGTTCACATGTGAGCTGATTTTTATGACAGTTGCATTCAGTCACTTCACTGTGTTCTAAGGCATTTAGATTATTTTACCTTCGATTTTGCAATTTTTGCTTTGCAGCATCTGTTGTGAGTTTGCTTGTCTTCCTTAGATCCAAGCTCACATTTTGTCGTCAGGAGTCCATGTGATGCTGGTAATCTGCAGCATAATTAGATCTAATTAACTTCTAATGGAACTTGGATACATTTGATCATGTAGTGTACTGTTTTCAAGATTTTAAGTAAAGGTGTGGGTTCAAAATTATGTAAAAAGGAAGTGCTGATACCAGAAATCAGTGTGAAACCATTATCACTTTCTCTGCCTCTACTGAGAAATATTTTAATCCTCCCTCCCCCTTTTTTGGGGGGCGGTTAGATATTAGAAGTTCTCAGTAACCTGCTTAATCATATGCAAGATTTAATTTGTGTTGCTTGTTTTATCATCCAATTATTCATCTTATAGCTAGACATAAGTGAATGAGCTAATAATTCAACTCTTCTGAAAATTTTTGAGCATGTCACTAACTATTAATTATGACCTAATTATGTTTTAGGAAGATAAGTATATTACATGGTACACGTTTATTATAAAATGCTTATACAGAATGTATTTATTAATTTATGGCTACTGTGTCTAAGTGTTTTTAGTACAGTTTTTACATTTTTCATTCATATACATATGTATAAATTATATGTGATTAAAATTTTTTGTGTATTTTTTCCCATTTCAGAAGAAAACATGATATGGAGAGCTAAACACTTCAAAGACATTTCTTTAGAAATCAAAGCTCGGGAGTTAAGAACACCTTCATGTGATATTTTAAATGATTTGTACAAAAGTTTAAAATAGTAGTTTTATTAGTAGTTTTTAAAATTATTTTCTTCCTACGTGATCCCATACTGTGAGATTTTTACCAAAGTCTCAAAGAAAATGTTATATTTTTAATATGCAAACTGTATTCAGAATACATCTAAAATAAATGTAATTAAAATAAAAGTATTCTAGTGCCCAGTGGAATGTTTCAAAAACTAAATTTATCCCATTTTATTTGAAGTTTAAGGAAAAAGGAAAGCCATATTCTTTTTCTTCATATTATGGCAGTAAGTTAATATTATATTTGACAGTCGTTCTGGCATATATTTCAAGAGTATAATATCTTAATGTTTTGCACTTTATTTTATATTTTCTTTTAAATAACTGAAATATATGGAAATATGTTTGCTATAATCAATCTGGCTTTTGTACCAAGAAAAAATATACTTCCAGCATATATACTTTTTTATTAGAAAATATACCATTGTTTCGAAATTATCATTTGAATCTCAGTTTTTGCTTTGATTTGAAAGCAGTCTACTGTGACTTATCTTGTAAATATATATGTTTATATATGCTGTTCTTTAAAGAATGAAACTGATTTCTTAGATAAGAATTTTTTTTACAATGATCTTTTCCAAAATAACTGGTACTAACTACAGTGCATTTCGGTAAAAGTTTCTTGAAAGTTGATTCTTAAGCGTAAGAATCAAGAAAAGTGTCTTTCTCCTAGCTTATTATAATAAACATCACTTAAGTTCAAATCTAGGATATATAGTGGACGGGAAGCACATTCAATACTATTTTTGTTCATTTATTGCATTGTAATATTTGCCGCAAGATGGCGAGTTGCAAGCAACCTGTTATTGATAATCCATGTTCCTAAAAATGAAAGGCAATCATCATAACTTTTACATCTGATCTTGATGACTTTTGCTTTCCAGAAAAACATATGCATTCTTTTGCAATTTTACTGTTACTCACTCTCAAGCACAACACTGAAGGCAAAACTCAAGTGCAAGTAGAATTATATAACTACATATTGCTTCATAAAAGTAGCATCCATTTTGTCTGAAGGCATAATGAGAAACGAATTTACTTTCATCGTTGTCATTCACATGGGAATTGCAATATCATGTAACTATCTATAACAAAAGTAATGAAATAAACCTAGGGCTGTTCAAAAATATAATTTAGCTTTTGTAGCTGCAAGGTAGGTAGCCCTATATACATTTATATATATAGAGAGAGAGAGACAGAAATGAAAATGTGTTTTGACTGTCTGCAAAGAAAACAATTTCATTTGTTATTGAACAGCTCTTGTATGAATCAATTTTTTAACTTATCACATAAACGTACAACTATGTGAGTTTTGTTATTTGGCTTGTAATGTTCTAATTTACTTAGAGTGAGACACAAAACCAAAGAAGGTTAGCCTTTGTGTCGTGAGAGAAATTTGAAACTTATAAAACTTTTGTTGTTCTTGGATGAACTAAGATATATATACTTTAATTTAATGATTGTTGTAAAGTGATTTATATTTATTTTTGTGTATTTTGATTAATTAGAAAAAAACTTGATTTTGATTTTTAAAAGAGCATTCCCGTAGTGCAAGGATGGTAGATCTAAATACTAGGTGAAGTTAATTTTGTTAATATAATGCTGTTTAACTTTAGATTATGTAAAAACATATATTAAAAATTTCATTATTATCTTATTAAAGTATTAATAATTGAAATAAAAAAAAATAAAATGAACATGGAAAAAAGTCATTGCTAAGATGCAAGACTATGTTCTGTTTGATTTTAGTTTTGCTTTTAAAACAAATGTATTTATATGACTTGAACCAGTATTATTGTCCATTAACTTCAAAAAGAACTCATTGATTATTATGAATTTCAAATAAATTAGTTTATATGAAAATGCTGCTAAGTTTTGGGACTGTATTATCTGCTAGTTGGTGTTTCGTCTTCTTTTTATTGGATTTCTTCTACATATAACTTTTAGGAATTCATCTTACTCTTCATCACATCATCATTGCATTCCTTGATCATCTGTAAATTAGACTGAATTTCCACTAGTTAATTAGTAACAGTGTGAGTTACAGCAGTTGCCTTGCTTAGTTGCATTCTTAACCATAAACTCATTAAATGAACTGGTGCTTTAAAAATTAATTTCTGATTCGGTGTTAATTTTTAAGTTCTTGGACTGTTATTTTTAGGAATTGTCTTAGCAGATGGGTAAACTAAGCTAAAGAATAACAGTATAATATTCCTTTGAATTACATAACTAATTCATTCCACAAATTCATATGTAACTTGAATTTTATTTGAATTTGCAAATTGCTTAAGTGTAACTTCACAAGAAACTGCAGTATGTATTATATATATTTATATTATATACACAGTATTAAAAGATGCATCTGGAAAGTTTGGTGAATGATCTAAAAAAATAAAGGAAACAAGAGTTACAAACAAAAATACCTTTACAGCCTTCAGAGTAATCACTATTAGCTACAACACACGTCTGACATCAGTTGTAAACCTGTGGGGAACTGCCAGCAAATGTTTCTTGTGGAGTTATTTAATGCACGGGGGTCATGGATTTTGGATATCTGCAATGTCTACAAAGCGTAAGCCTTTCAGGGCTAATTTAAAGCAGGAAAACAAGCTTAAAAAAAAAAAAAAAAAAAAAAAAAAAAAAAAAAAAGTCTGCTGTCACCAAATCTGGAGAATAAGAAGTTTATTGAAGAGAAGTCACCTTGCATTGAGTGAGAAAGTTGAACACGTGGATCGTAGTGTGGGGACAGATGTTGCTGTAGAGGAAATTTCCCTGTCCACTCCAGTATAGTTCTGGCCATAACCCATCGGATGCATTGCAGCAGTTGTTTCAAAATTTCCTTGTAAACTTCCGCATCGGCTGTTTGACCTTCGGGTAGAAATTCATGATGGATCAAGACCTTGCTATCGAAAGGCAAGCAACGTTGTCTTTATCTTGGATTTTGTCAGCCAACATTCTTGGGAGGCAGGGAACATGATGATCACCATGCCACTGACTGTTGCTTGGTCTCCTGATCTTACTCGTAGCACTAGGTCTCATCTCCTCTAATGATGGTTTAAAAAATCTTTGGATTACAATCAAACATTTCAAGGAAATCTCCAGATGTTTCCATCTGCATTTGCTTCAGCTCGCAATGTGTGTGATACAAACCGAGCACAAATCATTCGCTGTTTTAAATGGTCATGAATGATAGTGCTTATACTGCCGTAGCTTATCTTCAACACTTTTGCTATCATTCTCAAAGACAGCCTCCAATCATCCACGAGCATCCATTGTGCTTGTTCAATGTTATCTTGGATTGTGCTTGTTGATGATTGACCCGAATGCTGTTCATCTTCGACACCTTCCTTTCCATATCTAAAGCATTTAAAAACCACTGAAACATACTCTTACTCACTGCTTCAACACTTACTACCCTACACTTGCACTAGCATTCCATGAGTCTTCGTCATCGTTTCCTTTAATTTGAAGCAAAACATCATGTGAACGCATTACACCATTTTGCAATGACACAAATTCTCACACTGACTCCATTAGCATGGTCACAGCTTGCACCACTGCTTAACTTCAGTGATTTGCGTGATAAGGGGTGCTTGTTAACATGTCTGTCAATGCATATGTATATCATTCTAACCAACACAGTTTTTAACATAAGGAACCATTCACCTAACTTTTCAGACGCATCTTGTGTCTTATAAATGGAACATCATACAGTACTATTTACTTGAATTTATAAGACATAAAAGTATAACAAATATCCAAAAGAATACAAAAACAAGCTGAAATAACACTTTTCAACTAAAAGAAGTCATGGGAAAGCTGATTTGGTTTTGCAGTAGGAGAATTGGCAATGAAGTTGGATCGTTATAAAGAAAAACACTGTTTTCTGCAACTTCTGTCTTTCTTGATGTTGGAGTCTGAGATCAGTCAGAATTGTTTAAGTTGTCATCTTGACATTGTTGGCAGCAGAATCTAAAGTAGATTGTTGGTCTGGAGCAGATTGTTATCACAAAAATTTTTAACTGTAGGTGGCCTTATAGTTAGCCACATCAATAATATTATATTTATTACCTTCACAAACTGCTTGTTGTTCGAATGTAAATTTTCTTATGTAAATCTTTGTGTAAAGACCTAGCATTCTCATGAATAATCAGAAAATGCAATGTTATCCACTTCTGTGGCAGGCCTTCAATCCAATGAGACAGCAAATTTTCTGTTTCAGAAATTGGTCACAGATTTTTCTTGGTAATGATTGCTTCATAATAATTGTGTCCTTCAAGTTTGGTGCATCTTTCATGCTTTCAATAGAGCAAGCATTATCCTCCGCTATTGTATTCAGTCTTGAAAAAGGCTGATTTATGTTCTGAGCTGTTATAATTTTCCTATTTCGTATAAATATGAGTAATTTTCATGCTTTCTAAAATAATTGCAGTTTTTTAGATTTATTACCAGTGCATTAATTATATGTCTTAAATCAATTTGAAAGGTAAATAAATAGCAAACACTAACAGTGGTAAACAAGTAACTAAAGTAACTGCACAAATATTGTTTGAATGCAAGAAGTGCTTTTTGGGGGAAAGGAGGAATTGTTTATGGAGTCCATATTTTTTACTGTTAGGTTTCATTGTGAATGTTATGGCTTTTATGATCATGCATAACTGCAGATTTATGTAAGTTGAGGGGTGGTTCTGCATTAAAAATGTGGCACAAAAATTAGAAAAGTATGTGGCTTGTTAAAATGTCTGATGTTCATTGCATAGCTGTCAAGTCCAATGTTTGAATGTAAGAAGTGTAAAATGATTTCAAAATTTTTAAAGCTGAACTGAAGGAAATTTAAAACGTTTCATAAATACATAAACTATCAAACATAAGAAGCATAAGTATTATAAAATAAAACAAAACTTAATGAAGCCGCATTGAATCAAGTTTAAAAAATATAAGATAACAGGAAATATCACGTAGAACTTTTAATACTCAACACAGATTAAATCAAACTGTTCGAATATTTTATGAATACTGTTAAGAGTTTATTTATGCAGTTTTAAACAAATAGTACATGTGCTTTATGTAGCCAGATTTAATAAGCTTTTACTTGCTATAATTTATATGTGAATGATTGCATTTTATCTTTGGGCACTGTGTAGTATCAAGCTAAATGATGAATGTAAATATTCATGTAGATAAATGGTACATAAAGGTAGATTTTGCTGTGAGAGATAAGTTTGTAAAAGGCTTACCATCCTTGCTATGAAGTGACTTAAGGTAAATTTTAAACTCAGCTGGCATGTAGTGTGTCGTGACAAACTATTTATTGTATTTTCTCTCATTTGAAAATATATATAGTGTATTTAGTTTTCAATTTTCCTCTAATGGTGCTTATTGTAGAATTGATTTCGATCACATTGACATTGTGTTAGATTTTTTTAAATTTAAGATGAAGAGACCTTTAAAATTTGAGTTATTTATTATTAGTTCAAACATTCATGATTTATATGTGAGGAATATATAAGATATTTGAAATGATGTGTTTGAATTTTAAAAATACAAATTTAAATTTTAGTAGCTTTCTTGTAGCATGAAATTTTTATTCTTCATTATATCATTCTTCATTTTTGACACTTTTCATATTATTAATCTAATATTTTTGTACTAACCAATGTGAAATTTTATGATTTTGATCATTAGATTTGATTATGAATTTGAATTTATATTCTTTGGTTGTGATTTAATATATCTAGTACTGTCAAACCCATTTATACTGAATTTATTAATATCAAATTGTTACATATTTCAAACTTAAAATATTAACTCTAAAACTAGTAAATGAAGAATGTGAATGTAAAAGCTGTATTGAGAAGCTGTGTTTGTTATATTGAATATGTATATTACAAATATTCCCCAAAACCTAAGAAGCTAATAATTGTAGTACTTTTTGAATTTTAATTATTCATTTTATTTTTTGTATGTAGGCTGTACATATACTGCTTCATTGAATAGATGTCTTGAAGCATTCAGAAATATAAATTCAAAACTTTAAGCAAATACTTTTAGCTTTACCATTAAAGAACAGTATAAGAAAAAAAAAAAAAACAGTGCAATTGATTGATGACTGCAATTATATGAGTTTTGGGAATACTATTAATTATTAAAAATATTGCTGAAAGACAAAATTTCCTTTTCTGCAAAATTAGAAATATATAAAGTGCATAATATGAAAAATGGAAGTCAAAATGTTCCTTAGCAAACAAATATAAATGCAGCAGTTAAAAAAAAATTGTGTGTTTCTCAAGTGTCCCAGTTTAAATCCAGTTTCCAAGCATATTTGCACGTATGCACTGATAATACTAAAAATGCTTTACTGGCCAGAACTTGCATGAAATGCTCTTTAATAATTTTTGTGTATATTTGGCTTCATAATGTTCCTATTATTTTTGCTCTTATATTATATCTAAAGGTAAAGGGATTTACGTTATTCTGGTTTAAAACTGTATTGAGAAAAAATAGAATTGAATTATGAGACATTTTTATAAGAGAAAATGGAAGATTTGTAGATGCAAATTAGTCAAATATAATCTGTACATCATTCACATAATTTTTTTATTATATATTTTATATGCTTGTATATATGTAATATTAATATTCAGAATTTTAAATCATATTTATAAAAGATAAATATATAATTATTTTTAGTGAAATTATTCACATGTCAAACATTTATGATAGAATATTGAAATTCAGTATAAATGGGTTTCACTGTATGTACAGAAAACTTTTGTATATATTTTAAGCATATTACAATAAAATATTTCTTTTTTGGGAAGAACACATATATGTGAGTTTTCCTACAGGTTCCTACAGTATTTTTTAAAAGCAATCAAAACATTTTGATGCATATATTACAATTATTTAGTACTTTGGAAACTTGTTTACAGAAACATTTTCATTGAAGTTGAAGCCATAGGTTATTGTATTTATTAAGATTTTTCATTAATTAGTTGCAGATTATTTGTCACAAAGTTTATTAATAATGATATATTAAGGGAAATTATTTGTGCATATCCGTAATAATATAGGCTTTGTGCATTTTAATGTTTGGGATTAAAAAATTTAAACTTGCTTCAAAAATAAATGTTCAGTTCTCTTGCAATTTTTTTGTATAGTTATTATTTTGTATACACAAGGTATCCAAGGGAGTTTGCTTTTTCTTCCATGCTTGTAATATAAAGGCAGTATTGTAGGAATTATTTTTATTCTATTAGTGTCATAAGTAGAAAACTGTTTATAGTTAAACTTTTATATTTATTTTAGGAAAAAACAGATATTTTATGCTCACCCCCCCAATGTTATTTAGTGTTTTATATTTTTTATTCTATTTAAACTGCATTTACTTTTCCATGTTTGTTGCAGATGAAATGTTTGATATTTCTTTTATATAGCAAAAATATTCTACTTTATAAATGTAGTTATAAATAAAAACCGCAAATATTTTGTGTTTTTTATTATAGTAGAATTTTTTTTTTCTCTCTGGAGAATATATTAAGAAAGTGATATTAATGTGATATTTATTTTATATAAATTAAAAATTTCTTGAGATAGGGAACACTTCAATGCTAATCATATATTAATGAGGAACTTTCAGATACTTTTAACAAATTTTGTTCTAGAAATTGTTTCTTTCAAATCTAGAAATTGTTCAATTTATGACAGTATTTTCTCTATTAGATTTTGCATATAATTCCACAAGGAAAGGTGTCTGTTTTAAAATGCATTTCTTTCTTCATGGTATTTTACACGGCTTTTGATTTCATTGCATTCTGAAATTTTCAGTATCTCTATACAGATACTGTATTGCAGCAAGTTATGGGAATGCATTATTCTTAAGTTTTTTCTCAAATGACCCCATTATCTTCTGTATGTGCAACATACAGTTTTTATCATTCTTTGGTAACTTTTCCAACATGTATTAAACAGAAAAGAATGTTGCATTTGAATGAATTATACAGGCATGCATATATTTTCTCAAGTACTGTATGAATGTATTTGCTCAGAGTTGCTGGAAAGGTATGTCATCTGCCAAAAAAGGCAATGTAGAGACATCTATATATGTGTAACATTCTATCCAACTGATTGCAACTGTATTTTTTCTTCAAATCTGATTAATATAAAAAATCAAAATGTCTTCTATATGGGAAATATTACTGATAAAATTCCTTTTAGAGAAAAACTTGAGTGACTGAAAAGTTGTTAAATAGTAAAAAAAAAAAAAAATTAACTCTCAAATGGGGTTCTTTGCAACAGTGTTATTCAACTGTATATTTCAACTTCAATGGAAATGCTTCATTGAAAAAATAATGAAACTGAAGAAGATCTGGAAATGTTTTTAAGTATGATTTTTTTTTTAGCCTCCTGTGTGCCAATGAGCAAGTGCAATTCTTAATAAGTCCTGTTGTACAGAGAAGTTACTATATGTACAGCATATTGTAATTTATACTGGATTGTACAAAGCCTATTTTCATGTTATGTTTTGTCAACTTGACAAGAAACCATAAAAATTTTTACACAAAAAACCCTCATTTTGCTTATCATTTATTATTATTATTTTTTTTTTTTTTACACTACATTTTATAATGTTTTTCAAGTAATGAAATTCTGATACAGTTGCTTACAAAGCATCCATGTTTAATTTATATGAAATTTAAATTTCCCAAAAATATACTGTATCAATGAAATGTAAGATATGAATCCATGTCTAAAAGAACAAAATATTGTTCTTATCACTGCTTTTAGCAATGAAGTAAAAAATAAAAATTATTTTGGTTATAGAAATTATTATAAAAGTTTCCAATTTTATATTATCATAATATTTAATGAGCAATTATTTAGTGTATCAGGAACTTTAGATTCCAGCGAAACTAAAAAATTAAGGACAAAATTTTACTAACTTGAATATAAAAAGTTTAAATGTCTTTCAAGAAAGTTTTATGGTCTGTTTTCGTCACTTACATCGGTTAATTTTTACACCAAAACTGATTTATATTAAACATGGGGAAATTTCTGCATAGCCAGCATATATAAATATGGGATGTTTTAATTTTATGAACTTGGCTGCTTTTACCTCTATAGATCCGTAAAGATCACCATTTTTTTTAACATAAGATATTTGCATTTAATATTCCAAAATCAATTATCTGAAAATCTAACTAATTAAAAAGGAAAATCTTTAGTATTGCATCCTTCCAAGCTACTTAGTGCACTACTACCTAGTAACTCAAAATAGTGTAATGAATATCTGCTCTGTTTTGAGTCTTTCTTGTACAATTTACTTTCTAGGAGTGGCAGCATCTGATTGTCATTTTAAAGAATTCTATTGTATTATCAGTGGCAATTTATTATCTGTTTCTGTTTGACTTTTATGTATAAATAACCAAAATCTATAGCGAATGTGGGCTTATTTAAAATAAGTAAATGTTCATATACTTCTACCCATTTGTCTATCAGAATTCTTGAGTTTATGCCATCAGTCACAACAGTTAGAAAGCCTGAAAATTATTAAACTGTATTTACTCAACATAATTATCCCCTTTTCTAAAATGAAAACGTTAGAAGAATGTAAAACAATCAAATTGCAGTTAAATTTTTTATTCATTTAATCCATTTTTAGACAAAAATAATATCCAGCTTTTGCACATCCCTTCATGAGGCTAGCTAGAAAATCCCAACTAATCTCCCATTCATCTAATGGAGCATTTCTCTAACTTTTTTCACCTGGAGATCATGTTTATAAATCAGAATGCTCTGTATATCATCTTACTCTTGTCTCCTCCTAAACCAACTTTTCACCAGTATATTTTTTTAAATACAATTAATTAAAATTCATTTAATTTCACATTATATTAACAGAAAAAAAAGGTATAATCATTTTTAGTAATTCAAGGCTATTAGAGTTTGGATTACCTTTATCTTCTCAAGTAAAAATGAAATGATTGGGTTTGGTATTCATGGAGGTGGATGAGCCTGCCAATTCTTACTCGGCCATTCTATGTTTGAAGATATTCTGGTAAGCCTAAGTCTTAGATCAGCATACATAAGTTAATACATATCAGGTTGATTTCAGTCCTTTGCTTTTATTTGAGTTAGTGATGATAACCCTTTCTGACATAGATATGTAGAAGGAAACTGAATTATAATTTTTAAAATACCATTGTATAATTCACTCTATTCTGTTGCCTGGTAATGAGGTTTAGAAATTTAACCGTACCTTCTGCTTGGAGTTTTATTTCAGTACCACAATGGAAAGAGTCTTGAACTCATGAAAATTCATTAACCGCTTGGGAATAGCATTGCCACCTCTTGACTTTCAAAATCCGGGAGAGGAAAAAAAAGTTTCCGTGAGAAGAAAAAAAAAATTTTTTTTTTCAGTTGCGACTGAAAAAATCTCTGCCTCCTTAATCCCATTTAAAAGTAGTTTTTGAGCTGTAAGAGCAAGCACACTCTCACAAATACAGGGTGCCTCAAAAAAATGTACTCACACTTAACTGTCACTAACATGCTGCCTTTTATGATTGCAAGTGGAATTAATTTATTGCAGCATGGCAGAAAATGAAGTTAGCATGGAAAAGACGAAGTTTGTCCTGAAATGTTATATAAAGACCGAAAACGCCATTGAAGTGCAAAGACGATACAGAAGGGGATTCGCAAAACCGTCACCAACGAGCCGGACCATTGCTCTTATCAGAGACAAGTTTGAAGCAGATGGAACCGTTCAGAACGTCAACAAGAAACATTCTGGATGACCACAGACATCCACGAGCCCTGGAAAAGAAGAGCAGGTGCAGGAAACACTCCTTCGATCATCACAAAAATCTCTTCGACAAACTGCTCGGGAAACCTACATCTCAAAAGGTAGCATCTGCTACATTCCAATACTAATCCATGCTGTAAATGAAGATGACCCTGACCGGAGAGTTCAGTTCTGTGAATGGTACCTGGCAAAATGGGCAAAGGATGCAGGGTTTCCATACAAAATTGTGTGGTGGTGATTAGGCATCCTTTAAATTGCTCCATTAATCCCCATAATTGCACGTACTGGGATCCTGTAAATCATCATGTAAGCTTGCACACCATGTAAACTTACCAAGAGTAACATTGTGGTGTGTGATATCCGCATAGTGCATTATAGGATCATTTTTTTAATAGACCTGTCACTGGTGAGCGTTACCTCAACTTGTTTCAGAAGTTTGTGGGTCCACAAATTTCGGAGATATTTAGTTATGACGACGAGATTTACTTTCAGCAAAATGGAGTACCCTCCCACTACCATCGCTATGTACGGGCTTACCTCTAGGCAGCTTTTCAGACAGACGCAATGAATACCCTGCGCGTTCCCCAGACCTCGCGCCCATGGGCTTCTTTTTGTTGGGATATCTCAAAGACAAAGTTTATCGCACCAAACCAAGAACAATTGATGCATTGAAATTGGAAATTGAACGACAATATCGCGATATTCCTTATGACCTGTTTCGTGACGTTTGTGAATCCCTTGGGGCAGTGCTCCGCAACCTTTTCTCACCTGCGATGCACAAAAAATCTTTCTGGAATTTCGTATCACACCAAAAGCTAATGTATATATGTATTGATTTATACACAAAAATTACAATAAAATTTTTGTTTCATTTGAAAAATATACAATTATAAAACAAAACATATTATTTATATGCAATCATAATATTATCAATGTGATACCTGCGCTTGCTTCAATGAACACAAAAGTTTTATATTCGGCTCAATATCTGACAACGCAATCAAGTAATTTTGTATACTGACTGCGAAATTTAAAAAAAAAAATTAAAAAAAAAAACAAAACTTCTTCAGTTGATTGGTTTATTTCAAATTAAAAAAAAAAAGTTTAGAGCTATTATTTTTAATAAAATGGTCTGAAACCAAATATTCGTTTAAATTTATGTTTAAAAAAAGTTATATATTTTTGAGTTCCGAGTTATCAAGGAAGTGCCGAAAAAATTCAAATGCTGACACATTACAATCACACACACAATAGTGAAATATATAAAAAACATTTAAAATAGACATTATTAAGGAAAAAAAAAATTGTCATTGTGTATTAAATACATGATAAAAAATTGCAAAATGTCAAATACTACATGTATTTGATAGCGGCACACCTATATCCTACTCATGGCACACCGGTTGCGGAGCTCTGCCTTGGGGCACATTACCAGCATTGTCTGGATAATGATGGTCATCAATTTGAACATTTACGAACATGATTCCTCAATTACATTTGCTTTCTGTATTTGAAGCCATTCCATTTCACTCTATGTTCAGAAATAAAGTTTTCTCGTCATTTGAAGTGTGAGTACATTTTTGAGGCACTCTGTACTTGTACATTTTGTTCTACCGCAAGAATTTTTCCCTCCCCCCCAAAGAAGAATCTGGAAATAGAGTGCTATAACAATTTGTTTGTGCAATTCTGGCTATTAAAACTGTGATGGTGCTTAATCCTATGATAGACTGAAGTAATTTTAATTGCTAATATATTGTCTTGTTCTTCTGAAGATTTCTTCATGAAAAAGTTCGAAACCGATTGCGAAGAATCCCTATTCAATATTAACGACTGGTGTTTCTTGCTTTGAGAATGTACAGTTAAAGTTCTAACATCCTCGTACTTAATATTACCTTTTTTCGACATACTTTACATTCTCTGTTAAATTTGTCTCTTTTCATAAGCCAATCAAATTGAGTTAACCACTTGTCTTGAAACGACATCGAATAGTTTGTCTTCTTTTGTGACACTTGTTCACTTGCAGAATCAGAATCTTTTTTTTTTTTTTTTTTTTTTTTTTTTCACTAGACATTATTATGAAAGCATTTAAATAATTTCAAAATACGCACTTGTTTGTGGATAGCTAGCTGATTGCAGACTAAATGAAAGAATGGATTGAAAATGAAAGGGTGAGGGGAGAGGAGGGTGCGACACGGCGGCATGAAACCATTACTTATAAGGGGCTTATTCACCGCAGATCGCTGCTGCAAAGAATATGTAGTATTGACATAGGCGTTCTTGGCTGCTGTGCGCGGTCATGTCATTTCCGATGTTCTCAACCATTTCGTCCGTGCGTATTGTGTCGTTATTTTCGAGAAACTTGATATTCCGGGAGAGTAATATTTATTTCAAATTCCTTCCGGGAGCCGGGAGATTTTAATTTTCAAGGCTCAATTTCGGGAGAGGTGGAAACCCTACTTGGAAAGTAAGTCTCAGATAATGACTTTAGAATTTCAAGATGTAACCATATGTCATTGCATAGTTGTTTTCCAGTAATGATATCATTTTCTACTAAAAAGGATTCTAATTTTGGAAATGGTGAAAAATTTCGAAGTTTTACTCAGGCAGATAGCTGTAATGTGTTTTGCGGCAGTCAAATAAACCAAACCTCTAATGTGAATAACCAGCCAACAAATCAAGTTACTTTTCAAGCCTTTATATTTTCTCATGGGCATTGAGAACAGCCAAAGAATTTTCTTGTAGACAGAGATTCCGTTTATTTAGTTT